TTGTGTGATTTTGTTGTCAGCACATTCAACTATGTAAAGAAAAAAGTATTTAATAAGATTATTTCATTCATTCAGATCTAGGATGTGTTATTTTAGTGTTCCCTTTATTTTTTTGAGCAGTGTATAAATGGAAAAACCAAAGCCTGTAACAGGGGGTATGATATTTATGCCTCTAACTTTCTCACTCATCATTATTCACGATTCATTCAGGATGATCCGTAACCATGGTAACATCCACATTAATGTAGAAGTGTTTAGAAACATTCTATTCTTATTTACAATAAAAGTGACTCAAAAATGACAATACATTATTTAGCATTCATTTCTATTGGGAACAAAATAATCTGAAACACAACGAAAACAAACAGCAAATGCATCCAACAAATAGTGTCACAAGCTCAATGCAGTCATTGCGTGCTATTATTTTGGGATCAAATACTTAACCTTTTACTACACATAAGTGAATTTGTCCCATTACTTTTGGTCCCCTAAAATGGGGGGACTATGTACAAAGAGTGCTGTAATTTCTAAACGGTTCCCCTGAGTGGCGCAGCGGTCTAAGGCACTGCATCTCAGTGCTTGAGGTTACAGATTCCAGGCTGGTTCGATTCCAGGCTGTATCACAACCGGCCGTGATTGGGAGTCCCATAGGGCGGCGCACAATTGGCCCAGCGTCGTCCGGGTTTAGCCGGTGTAGGCCGTCATTGTAAATAAGAATTTGTTCTTAACTGACTTGCCTAGTTAAATAAAGGTAAAAATATGGATGAAAATACTATCAAGCTGACAGTCTGCACTTTAACCTCAGTCATTGTATCATTTCAAGTGCTGGAGTACAGAGTCAAAATAACAACAAAAATTTCACTGTCCAAATACTTTTGAAGCTCACTGTATTTAGCATACCCCACCCTAACATCTATATATTCATCACTGAAAAAAATACTGTTGAGTTTGATATCATTTGAAAGTTTACAAACAGGGTTGTCAGTATGAAAAATGTATGCACTCACTAACTGTAAGTCGCTCTGGATAAGAGCGTCTGCTAAACGACTAACTTGTAATTGTAATTGTCAAACGGTTGTATAATTTCTTAAATTAGAAATATAAAACGTAATTTATTAACCTTTGACATCAATTATCTAAACGCGTAAATTACAATTATTTTCATTTTCCTGGTAAAAATTAGTGCACTATATAGGGAGCCATTTGGGACGCATGTGAGGAAAGGACGCATCCCTGGACATGAAACCGAATACATGTATAGTATTAAAGAGAATCATTGACTTGAGCAATGTCAGTTCTGAGGATAGGACGCATCCCTGGACATGAAACCGAATACATGTATAGTATTACAGAGAATCATTGACTTGAGAAATGTCAGTTCTGAGGATAGCCAGTGAGCTTAAAGGCATTATGCATTCCACGTTTTCTCCCACAATCAGCCTATGATGTACTTTTTGATGTTTTTATCAACTGTGTCTCCTGTGAGGTAGAAATGTAATTCAGACATGCTAATGTTCTACTGATAAACACAAAGTTATTGTTTGTTTTGTGGGTTAGTTGAGACCCATCTTCCCTGGCTGCTAGCGACGTTTCGTCCAGACCTGGTTCTGTACGATGCTGGAGTCAACCCTCACTGGGATGACGAGCTGGGGAGGCTGCGGCTGACTGAGCAGGGAGAGTTTTAGTTTTTGCCCTAATGTAAAGGACGTCACGGTCAAGCCGCTTGCTTAGAGTACCGACTTCCCCCTAATCGGCTCATACCGAGACTAGAACAGGACCTATGTGACCGCCCTCCTGAAGCGTTCAAACCCATTGCAAAAGGCCTTCTTCAAATGGTGCAAGGGTCGACACTTCAGGCTGAGGAGTGAGTTTCACAGATCCCCATCTGCTACATTCACACCCCAAACTCACTCCACAGCGACCCCAGTAGTTGAGCGGAGTGTAGATCCGAGTCTAGAGGCACCATTGTAAAGGACGTCACGCTGCTTGCTTAGCGAGTAACCCTGATTCAGCTCATACCGAGACTCGGACTCAGGACCTCAGCCTTGCAAACACACATGACCGCCCTCCTAAAGCGTTCCAACCCATCGCGCTATAAAAAAATGAGGAGTGAATTTCACAGATCCCCAGCTACACTAGCACTAACACACTTGATTCAACTAATCAACTCAACATCAAGCCTTTATTTGAATCAGGTGTGTTAGTGCTAGTGTAAAAGTATTGCCCCAACCTGGGCTCGACCCAGGGACCTTCTGCACACATCGATAACTGCCTTCCCACAAAGCATCGTTACCTGTCGCTCCTCAAAAGCCATGGCCCTTGCAGAGCAAGAGAAAAAACTACTTCAAGGTCTCAGAGCGAGTGACTTCACCAATTGAAACGCTACTAGCACACACCACTAACTAGCTAGCCATTTCACACTGGTTACACTATTTTTATTTAACTAGGCAAGTCAGTTAAGAACAAAAATATGCACCTCTTTGGGTTACCATGACCAGGATTGGGAAACACTAAGTTAGATAAAACGAAAGAAATATAGACAACGCACAATGGTGTGTAACATTTAATTTAACGGAAACATTGCTGTTCTGAACGACCAGTTGAAGAATGTTGTGATTATGGTCGGCCAGAGGGTGATTGTGTCCCTACGGAGTGCTGCATGAGTTTTGTGATTTCAAATGGTCACACCTATATTGATCAGGCCACACCCACCAAACGGGTGTAAATATACCTCAGACTGTTGAACTACTGTGTGCACCGATGTAGTCATTTAATGAACTGAACGCACCCCTGGTGTTCAATGCTGTTGTTTCTTTGACAGGTCTTTACAATAGGGACCTGTATGTGATAAAGGCAGTGGTGGACAGAGGTGTTCCGGTTATAGGAGAAGGCTATTCCAAAGAAGTCGACAAGTCAGCAGCTACTCAGGTCAGACACTCGCTAGTCCAATAACCAGGTCAGACACTAGTCCACTACTCTGGTGATGAATTGTTTAGTCCACGGAGTACCTGAGACACTCCACTGTCCACTACCCAGGACGGCCACTAGTCCAGACAAGTCTCAGAGCATATCTCTGACACTGAGTCCAAATGGTTAAACTACTGTTCCTTTCCTTTCAGTTATGGAGAGAACAGAGGATGTAACTCCATGGTTTTACCTGAGGCTCAAGAGAACCCAGAGAGCATTAATCTTCACTAGTTATGTTTATCAATGTAAGGACGTATACAATGCAAAGTATTTTTAATCACATTAATATCTTGTGTTTTAGGGCTACATTAAACGGATGCATCACTTGTGAATTACATCAATATTAAACTATCAATAGTACAAATAGAACAACTTGGGGTGCAACAATGAAAACGACCTTGAATGGAAGTCTATATAAAGATTGCCATTTGTTTTCGTAATAAAGCATTCTTACATGCTACTGATTTTGGTCATTTTGGTAAAATCTTGCATGTGATGTAGACTAGGTTTAGCTACCTCACTCAACCCTTTTGAGCTGAGCCAAACTGAGCCAAGCCAATACTTCGCTAGCCTTGACCGCGATTCAATCCGACCACGCTTGTAGAGAATACAGCTTTTAAAAAGGCAATTGCATTTAAGGTAATGTCGGCTCAATTAGAAATTAAATGACCTTTAAATGTCAAGCGGGCTATAGTGCGGTTTTGGATTGAATCCCGACACTTGAAACTGTACTGCAAAGGACAATGTGAAAGGAAAATATCCAAGCCACCACGATATTTTGCATCATTCCACTCTGAACTGTGGTATACTAAACTACATAACTGTAATGCATGTCGTTCCCTGGCTTGCCATAGGATGGCACTACCAGTATTATGTAGTGTAGTCTATTAAATGTCTGACAGACAGTAAATGTTGTTCTGTACCTGCATCCCTGGCCTCTGTGTATCAGGAGATTGAGTACATTGGTAGAATAAACATTTGATTAGGACCAGTAAATCAATCACAAGGAGGAGATTCATAAAAATTATTTATTAATGGGGTAAACAAAAACATACACTGACAAATTATTTTAAGAAATTTCAATTTTAAAAAGTAAACCTTAAAACATTTTTTACAAAAATAATGTAGGCTAGGTGAGATATCAATCTCTATACCAGTAACAGTAGTGGGTCTAGACATGTTGCACTGCATTGACAGGCTTATGCAACCGCCCTGGTTCAATTACTACATACATTTTTCATGTTTTCCGAGAGCTATTCATGTTCGAGCCGCTGACATTCAGCAAGCAGCAACATACCTACAGTGCAACGTCTCACTGTATCATCTAGGATGTGTGTCTGTTCATTTGGCCCAAAAATTACATTGGTTTAGTTCAACCGGACAAAATATTAACACCAAATCACATACACAGCATTAAAATTATAGCACTTGCCTTAAGCGTTCTTAATAACAGCACATGGCTCCTTAGAACATGACCCATTATTCACAGGTGGTCCATAGAAAGGGATACCAACACATCACAGAACATTGCTGCAAGGTTGGTTCCTCTTATATATTGCGGAACATTTGAAGACAAATACAGGCAGAATTTGCATATGAGACCCATTCCACCACTAATGGTCAATGGTTAGTCTAAAGGGCTGATGGAAGGGGGGGGGGGGTGGGGTATCCTATAAGTTCCTCTGTGGCTAAAAACAGAAAAGCAAAATCTAGAGGGGGAAAACTGAAATGACGTGACTCCTTAGCGGACATTTTTCATAGTTATTGGTGGTCCATTGACAGCAGCATTGGAACAGAGGATAGAAGTCTAGGGAATAGGGTGCCATTTGGGACACAGCCAGATATACCCTGGCCCTGGGTCCCTGGATACTGCTTATTAGGTGCTATTCATTTGCAAAACACAGTAACTCTTAAAACACTGTAAGAATGTGAACAGTACCTTCAACATCTCTCAACATTTTTTTCTATATATATTTGAAGCGCAATATAAATAAATCATGATCCAAAATAAAATAAAACTTGTTAAAACCAAGTCATATCTTCCAAACCTGGACCTTCTCGGCCACCACGCACCAGTTGGCGTGGTCAGAGCAGGAGTAAAGGACGTGGAGCTCCTCGACGTGGCTCTCGATCAGCTCCGCCAGCTCGCCCTCCCGGAACACGTGGTAATAGCGCAGACACGAGGCGGCTGCCGGCTCCCCTTCACTGTCCTGGGGGCACTGACTGCTGTTCTGTCCCTGTTTGAGGTCTCCTGGTGGGCCTGCATCCCTCTCCCCTGGCTGCCCTGGTCCCTCTGTGTGCTCCATCTGGTAGGAGGAGACCAGGTCAGGCAGGGCCACAGAGCCACACTCCTGGACCAAGGCGGTAGAGACACTGGTCATCTCTGTGGAGGGGGAGTGGTTGTCGTTGCTGCACACCCCATGATCTCTCTGGCTCCTGACTAAGTCTGTGGCCGAGTCAAAGACGTCTTCCTCCGAGCTGTTCCTGGATAAGCCAGAAAAGAGGCTGGAAACCTGCTTGATGAGGCCCGCTCCCCTGCCTCTGCGGCCGACCTTGCCTCCCTCCCCAAGCCGGGAGGAGAAGGTGCTGATGAGCTCCCTGGAGGTGGACCTGGAGATGGTCAGGCTGCCAAAGTCAAAGACCGAGTCCAGGGAGCGCGAGAAGAACCACAGCCTCTGGCTCTGCTGGGGACTACAGGCAATCTCCTCTTCGTCCAGCATGAACGATGTGCTTTTCACCTTCCTGTGCTCGTCTTTGTTGTCGCTGTAGAGGCATTCTTGGATAGATAAGAATAGAATAGTACTTGGTTAGTCCAAACACACACACGTGCGCATGCACACACATTCTTTTAGTGCCTTGCTCAAGGGCACAACAGCAGGAGATTGTACCTGGGATCAACAACATAAAACAGCAGCCTTCCAGATATTGCCAGCTTATCTCTTATATTGCCCTGCCTGGTATTTGAACCAGCAACCTTCTGGCACCTCCCTAACCCCTAAACAGCTACCTACCGCTTACACTCTGTGCTGCGCCCCTCCTCCGGGGTGTGGGCCTCTCCCTGTCCAGGGTGGGGGACGGGGGGTTGGGGTTCCAGGGCACGAAGATGTCCTGCTTCTGAAACTTCCGCCGTGTCTGCTCCATGGCCCACACGTAGATCATGATGCGCCCGCCCACACGCAGGGTCCTTGCCATTTCCTTTATTGCTCGAATACGACGCTCTTTGGTGGACAGATGATGGATGACTAGTAGGAGAAAAAAAACAGGACAGTGGTGGGCGTTGGATCTTCTTAGTATTGTGTCACATGTTCAACAGATCTTTCTGAATGGCCAGTTCAGAATAGGCCGGGGGGGGGGGGGGGGGGGGTGGTTGAGATAGTGAAGAGGGACAAGAGGGTTGCTAAAAGGGCATAAGGCTACAAGGTTGGGTTCAATTCGAATTGAGGCAATCAACTCAGGAAGTCAACTGAAATTCCAGTTCAATAATAGCATAAGGGGCATCTAAGTATTTATTTATTTCAAAAGTTGATGGTCAATTTTAAATTCAAAATGGACTTCATGAGTTGACTTCTTTCAATTTGATTTGACCCCAACCCCAACCCCTAAACCCACACCAACACCACTCTACCTGTGCTCTGAAGGCAGCGGCAGTAACTGTTCGACCACCTGAGGCCACTGAAGGGCCAGTGTTTGTGTTTATTAATACTGTCCTAGGGCAAATGAGCACCCGAATCCTGCCTACTCACGCGTTGGTAATTAGACACCACTTTACCTTGCAATAAAACCACGGATTATTTCCCAACATACTCTTGTTACCTTGGTGACCCGGCTGCCTAGGCAACTAGGGCGGCTGTGCCAGGAAGTGCTTATCTCATGTCACCTGTATTGGGTATATGTTGTGAAATTGTTAGATATTACTGCACTGTCGGAGCTAGAAGCACAAGCATTTCGCTACACCCGCAATAACATCTGCTAAACACGTTTATGTGACCAATCAAATTTGATTTGACCCGCTTGGTTTTCATCATTTCATTCATGTCACTCAACCACATTGATTTGAAGTGAAGCACTGAACATGAACAGCTGCATGATACCCAAGCAGAGGCAGTTGCCAGTATGTTAAATGAGCAATCTGGGATTCAAACAACTAAAATACATTTATTTGGGTAAAACAGCAGTGGGATTGGACTGGAGAAATGTAACCACTCAAATTCAGACAGAGCTATGGTTGCAAGGACTGACCAAAAATGAGATCAAAATGATTTTCAACCATGTTGTGAAGCTGTACAGTGTTTATTTTCAAATTACAACATTTACAAACAATGGAGTAAACAGCTTATAAATATAATGGGTGATGGGGTAAGACAGTTGAACTAAACTCATGAGGGATGCACATGTTATATTCATCAATAAACAATGGCTATATATATCATTATATTTAAAAGTCCAAAAATGTATGTACCAATCCCACATTGCCCCCTTAATTGAAGAGAGATGGATAAATGTGTTGCATGTGAGCCTCATGCCAAAGAAAACTGTCTAATATAAATTGGATATACAAAGCTTTTTTAATTGAATTTAATCAAGTGCCCCGTCAGTCTAACACTCGGTCCCAATTCACTCCCTACACAGTGCTAGACTTGGGCCAGAGCTGTCTGGAGCACTGTACCTACACTTCTACATTTAGGGGAAACGCTCATCAGCTCTTCTATAAAACAAAGTAGCATATCACCGGCCCAGATTCACACACCGAGGCAAAAAAGGTTGCTCAAAGCGGAATGAAGGCGGGATCTGCATTGAATAGCAAATGGCAAGTGGGCATTAATTTCCTGATTCCGTTTTGTTCAAGTTTATTTGCCCCTAGTCGGTGAATCTGCGTGACAATAGGCTGTCCGAGATTGTGCAGATTGAAAATGCGCCAGCCTGAATGAGCATGATGCTCTGTTCCAAATTGTCAAATTAGGGTTCGTAAAGTCATGGAAATTAGTTTCGTAATTTTTGAAAATGTAATTCATGAACGCACACTTAAATATTATCAACCACTTAATCTACATATCAGTCACTATCGTAATGACCCTTCAGTGCATGTATGTGTGTGCCAGGAACATAATTACAAATAATTTGTAGAAGAATCCCAAACAGATATATTTGACAAAAGCATGATCATTTCAAACCTTGCTTACATACAATCACGTGTCTCTCTATTATGCGTGGGAATACTTGGGAACAGATTTCTTCAATTGAAATAACTGGTGTTTTTACAGTCTTTTATGTCCAACAATGTAAAACATATATTTTCTAGTTTTTTTGCTCCGAAAACTTGGGCCGCCAGTTGGGGGAATCCTGGCCTAAATAAATCTGCACAGTTGGAATGCTGGGATTCCCCTCTATTAAACAGTATCCATGTAATTGCAACAATGTAAAAAAATATATTCTAAGAATAGCCTAATTTAAAAATAAACTTGTTGTGCATAGATCTACCCCGGAACATGAATATTTGAGCCTTCTACTGTAGGCTATGTAAACATGTCTAGTTAGATAAGGTAGGCTACTTCAAAGCAAGTTATCTATTTGATCCCTGATTCATTGAATGAGTTAATCATTTTATAAAGACAAAAGTATTGTTGTAATGTTGCAATATTTTATATCAAGGGTGGCAACCATCCTCCAGGATAGCTACTGGGTGTGCAGGCTTTTGTTCAAGCCCTGGTCTAACCACATTGTAGCCTAAACATCAGCTGCTCAACAGGACCTTGATAAGCAGACTTGGGTGTTTCAAGGCTGGATCAAAAGCAAAAGCCAGCACACCCAGGAGCTCTCCAGATGGCGTGTTGACCACATGTTGAACACATGTGACTAACAGTGCAGTTATACTTTGTGGGGGGTTAAGTGCCTTGATCTAGGGCACAATGGCAGGAGATGGTAGGCCTACATGGGATCAGACACAGCAACCTTCCAGTGTCAAATCAAATCAAATGTTATTTGCCACATGCGCCGAATACAATAGGTGTAGACCTTACAGTGAAATGCTTACTTACAAGCCCTTAACCAACAATGCAGTTAAGAAAAATAAGTGTTAAGTAAAACAATAGATACAGTGAGGGGAAAAAGTATTTGATCCCCTGCTGATTTTGTACGTTTGCCCACTGACAAAGAAATTATCAGTCTATAATTTTAATGGTAGGTTTATTTGAACAGTGAGAGACAGAATAACAACAAAAACAGTCTATGACTTGGGTGACTGGAGTCTTTGACAATTTTGGTCAATCAAAATTCAGTCGATGACCCCCGGAATCTACAGTAAGGGAAAAAAGTATTTGATCCCCTGCTGATTTTGTACGTTTGCCCACTGACATTATGGTAGGTTTATTTGAACAGTGAGAGACAGAATAACAACAAAAAAATCCAGAAAAACGCATGTCAAAAATGTAATAAATTGATTTGCATTTTAATGAGGGAAATAAGTATTTGACCCCCTATTAATCAGAAAGATTTCTGGCTCCCAGGTGTCTTGTATACAGGTAATGAGCTGAGATTAGGAGCACACTCTTAAAGGGAGTGCTCCTAATCTCAGCTTGTTACCTGTATAAAAGACACCTGTCCACAGAAGCAATCAATCAATCAGATTCCAAACTCTCCACCATGGCCAAGACCAAAGAGCTCTCCAAGGATGTCAGGGACAAGATTGTAGACCTACACAAGGCTGGAATGGGCTACAAGACCATCGCCAAGCAGCTTGGTGAGAAGGTGACAACAGTTGGTGCGATTATTCGCAAATGGAAGAAACACAAAATATCTGTCAATCTCCCTCGGCCTGGTGCTCCATGCAAGATCTCACCTCGTGGAGTTGCAATGATCATGAGAACGGTGAGGAATCAGCCCAGAACTACACGGGAGGATCTTGTCAATGATCTCAAGGCAGCTGGGACCATAGTCACCAAGAAAACAATTGGTAACACACTACGCCGTGAAGGACTGAAATCCTGCAGCGCCCGCAAGGTCCACCTGCTCAAGAAAGCACATATACAGGCCCGTCTGAAGTTTGCCAATGAACATCTGAATGATTCAGAGGAGAACTGGGTGAAAGTGTTGTGGTCAGATGAGACCAAACTCGAGCTCTTTGGCATCAACTCAACTCGCCGTGTTTGGAGGAGGAGGAATGCTGCCTATGACCCCAAGAACACCATCCCAACCGTCAAACATGGAGGTGGAAACATTATGCTTTGGGGGTGTTTTTCTGCTAAGGGGACAGGAAAACTTCACCACATCAAAGGGACGATGGACGGGGCCATGTACCGTCAAATCTTGGGTGAGAACCTCCTTCCCTCAGCCAGGGCATTGAAAATGGGTTGTGGATGGGTATTCCAGCATGACAATGACCCAAAACACACGGCCAAGGCAACAAAGGAGTGGCTCAAGAAGAAGCACATTAAGGTCCTGGAGTGGCCTAGCCAGTCTCCAGACCTTAATCCCATAGAAAATCTGTGGAGGGAGCTGAAGGTTCGAGTTGCCAAACGTCAGGCTCGAAACCTTAATGACTTGGAGAAGATCTGCAAAGAGGAGTGGGACAAAATCCCTCCTGAGGTGTGTGCAAACCTGGTGGCCAACTACAAGAAACGTCTGACCTCTGTGATTGCCAACAAGGGTTTTGCCACCAAGTACTAAGTCATGTTTTGCAGAGGGGTCAAATACTTATTTCCCTCATTAAAATTCAAATCAATTTATAACATTTTTGACATGCGTCTCTCACTGTTCAAATAAACCTACCATTAAAATTATAGACTGATCATGTCTTTGTCAGTGGGCAAACGTACAAAATCAGCAGGGGATCAAATACTTTTTTCCCCTCACTGTAAGTAAAAAATATAAACAACAAACAATTAAAGAGCAGCAGTAAAATAAAATAACAGTAGGAAGGCTATATACAGGTACAGAGTCAATGTGCGGGGGCACCAGTTAGTTGAGGTAATATGTACATGTGGGTAGAGTTAAAGTGACTAGGCATAGATAATAAACTGAGTAGCAGCAGCGTAAAAGAGGGGGTGGGGTGGGGGTACAATGCAAATAGTCTGGGTAGCCATGATTAGCTGTTCAGGAGTCTTCTGGCTTGGGGGTAGAAGCTGTTAAGAAGCCTTTTGGACCTAGACTTGGCGCTCCAGTACCGCTTGCCGTGTGGTAGCAGAGAGAACAGTCTATGACTAGGGTGGCTGGAATCTGACAATATTAGGGCTTTCCTCTGACACCGCCTGGTATAGGGGTCCAGGATGGCAGGAAGCTTGGCTCCAGTAAGTACTGGGCCGTATGCACTACCCTCTGTAGTGCCTTGCGGTCAGAGGCAGAGCAGTTGCCATACCAGGCGGTGATGCAACCAGTCAGGATGCTCTCGATGGTGCAGCTGTAGAACTTTTTGAGGATCTGAGGACCCATGCAAAATCTTTTCAGTCTCCTGAGCAGGAATAGGCCTTGTCGTGCCTTCTTCACGGCTGTCTTGGTGTGTTTGAACCATGATAGTTTGTTGGTGATGTGGACACCAAGGAACTTGAAGCTCTCAACCTGCTCCACTACAACCCCGTCGATGCGAATGGGGGCGTGCTCAGTTGTCTTTTTTTTTCCTGTAGTCCACAATCATCTCCTTTGTCTTGATCACGTTGAGGGAAAGGTTGTTATCCTGGTACAACATGGCCAGGTCTCTGACCTCTTCCCTATAGGCTGTCTCATCGTTGTCGGTGATCAGGCCTACCACTGTTGTGTTGTCGGCAAGCTTAATGATGGTGTTGGAGTCATGCCTGGCCATGCAGTCATGGGTGAACAGGGAGTACAGGAAGGGACTGAGTACACACCCGTGTTGAGGATCAGCGTGGCAGATGTGTTGTTACCTACCCTTCCTGGCCCGTCAGGAAGTCCAGGATCCAGTTGCAGAGGGAGGTGTTTAGTCCCAGGGTCCTTAGCTTAGTGATGAGCTTTGAGGGCACTATGGTGTTGAACGCTGAGCTGTAGTCCATGAATAGCATTCTCACATAGGTGTTCCTCTTGTCCAGGTGGGAAAGGGCAGTGTGGAGTGCAATAGAGATTGCATCATCTGTGGATCTGTTGGGGCAGTATGCAAATTGGAGTGGGTCTAGGGTTTCTGGGATAATGGTGTTGATGTGAGCCATGACCAGCCTTTCAAAGCAATAATGCTTACTTTTTCATGTAGGCTATAATAATAGTCATGAACATTTGGTTAAAAGTCATGGAGAAGTCATGGAAAATGTGTATAAACCCTTAACAGTGAAAAATCAGATGTCTCTATAGCATAATGTCATTTGAGAATTTCAGTGAACATACAGTATTCTAATGGACCGACTTCGAAAAAGACAGCTCCTGCACTTCTTTCATCCCAAGTCAAGCACTGCTTATACCTATCCAGACCCTTCCGATATGCAAACATCATAGGGTTAGGCCCGAGGGGGAGTGAGAGGGACAGTGAAAATAAGACCGTAATGGTAGCAGGAGTGTGAGTCAAAATGCAAGCCAGTTGGCCGGATTCAAATCCATTCCGATTGAACCGGGGTCAGACACACTAACCGCTAGACCACACAGGCCCCTACCCTCCCATGTTGAGTGAAATATAGGCCAACCTGCGATGGAGAGGACGCCGTCAAAGCAGCTGTCCCTGTAGGGCAGCCTGAGGCAGTCACACAGCTGCACCTCGTGGCCCTGGCTCCAGGCAGAGTCCACCAGGGGGCGACACACGTCACAGCCCAGCTTAAACACACTGCCGTTGATGTGCAAGTACTTGCCATTGCCACAGCCTGTGGTAGGGATGAGGGCACACAATCAACAACAAACACCAGGTCCCAGTCCCAATTCTTCACCATTCTCCCAGTGTGCACTTGCTCACTTGCCATCATGGATTTCAAATAATTGGATTGGTGTAAACATTGTCTGGAGGGAGTTTCCACCATTGTTTAATCCATGTGCACCCTTTGGGAGAAGGGCGGAGAATTAGGATGCAGATGTAAACCCCAGGAGGACAATACAAAATGGCACCCTATTAACTTGCCTCATGAAATCAATCAACAGCAGGTAGAAAACCTTTGGCAGAGTATGTTATTGGCCTTTTTGTTCGTTTCAATTAAACTCAGGCCACCACAGATAGTCAGTGGTAGGACAGAGAGGCCAGTAATAAGATAGAGACACATACCCCCTTAATGCATGTCCATCAGTAGTAGAACAGACACAGTACATACCCACTTAATGCATGTCCAGCAGCAGTAGAACAGACACAGTACATACCCACTTAATGCATGTCCAGCAGCAGTAGAACAGACACAGTACATACCCACTTAATGCATGTCCAGCAGCAGTAGAACAGACACAGTACATACCCACTTAATGCATGTCCAGCAGCAGTAGAACAGACACAGTACATACCCACTTAATGCATGTCCAGCAGCAGTAGAACAGACACAGTACATACCCACTTAATGCATGTCCAGCAGCAGTAGAACAGACACAGTACATACCCACTTAATGCATGTCCATCAGCAGTAGAACAGACACAGTACATACCCACTTAATGCATGTCCATCAGTAGTAGAACAGACACAGTACATACCCACTTAATGCATGTCCAGCAGCAGTAGAACAGACACAGTACATACCCACTTAATGCATGTCCATCAGCAGTAGAACAGACACAGTACATACCCACTTAATGCATGTCCATCAGCAGTAGAACAGACACAGTACATACCCACTTAATGCATGTCCATCAGCAGTAGAACAGACACAGCACATACCCACTTAATGCATGTCCATCAGTAGTAGAACAGACACAGTACATACCCACTTAATGCATGTCCAGCAGCAGTAGAACATACACAGTACATACCCACTTAATGCATGTCCAGCAGCAGTAGAACAGACACAGTACATACCCACTTAATGCATGTCCAGCAGCAGTAGAACAGACACAGTACATACCCACTTAACGCATGTCCATCAGTAGTAGAACAGACACAGTACATACCCACTTAATGCATGTCCAGCAGCAGTAGAACAGACACAGTACATACCCACTTAATGCATGTCCAGCAGCAGTAGAACATACACAGTACATACCCACTTAATGCATGTCCAGCAGCAGTAGAACAGACACAGTACATACCCACTTAATGCATGTCCAGCAGCAGTAGAACAGACACAGTACATACCCACTTAACGCATGTCTATATTTTGTTTTTTTTGGTGAGGGAGGCCTGCTCTCTCCTTTCCCTGATGTTCAGTTCATTTCATCCCGATCTCCTCTGCATTATTGTAGCCATCTGCTGCAGCCTGTCAACTATACCTCTGCCTATCCCTGTTCTCTCCTCTCCGCACAGGCTACACAAACGCCTCACACCGCGTGGCTGCTGCCTCTCTAACCTGGTGGTCCCTGCACGCACCACACACCTGGAGTTCCAGGTCTCAGGCAGCCTCTGGAACTGCCGTTCTGCCGCCAACAAGGCTGACTTCATCCCAGCCTATGCTACCCTCCAGTCCCTCGACTTCCTGGCGCTGACGGAAACATGGATTACCACTGAAAACACTGCTACTCCTACTGCTCTCTCCTCGTCTGACCATGTGTTCTCGCATACCCCGAGAGCATCTGGTCAGAGGGGTGGTGGCACAGGAATCCTCATCTCTCCCAAGTGGACATTCTCAATTTTTCCCCTAACCCATCTGTCTATCTCCTCATTTGAATTCCATGCTGTCACAGTCACTAGCCCATTTAAGCTTAATATCCTTGTCATCTATCGCCCCCCAGGTTCCCTTGGAGAGTTCATCAATGAGCTTGACGCCTTGATAAGTTCCTTTCCTGAGGATGGCTCACCCCTCACAGTTTTGGGGGATTTCAACCTCCCTGTGTCCACATTTGACTCATTTCTCTCTGCCTCCTTCTTTCCACTCCTCTCCTCTTTTGACCTCACCCTCTCACCGTCCCCCCCTACTCACAAGGCAGGCAATACGCTTGACCTCATCTTTACTAGATGCTGCTCTTCTACTAATCTCACTGCAACTCCCCTCCATGTCTCTGACCACTACTTTGTTTCCTTTTCTCTCTCGCTCTCCTCCCACACTACTCACTCTGCCCCTACACAGATGGTAATGCGCCGCCGCAACCTTCGCTCTCTCTCTCCCACTACTCTCTCCTCTTCCATCCTATCATCTCTTCCCTCTGCTCAATCCTTCTCCCTCCAATCTCCTGATTCTGCCTCCTCAACCCTCCTCTCCTCCCTTTCTGCATCCTTTGACTCTCTGTGTCCCCTATCCTCCCGGCCGGCTCGGTCCTCCCCTCCAGCTCCGTGGCTTGATGACTCATTGCGAGCTCACAGAACAGAGCTCCGGGCAGCGGAGCGGAAATGGAAGAAAACTCAACTCCCTGCCGACCTGGCATCTTTTCACTCCCTCCTCTCTACATTTTCTTCATCTGTTTCTGCTGCTAAGGCCACTTTCTACCACTCTAAATTCCAAGCATCTGCCTCTAACCCTAGGAAGCTCTTTGCCACATTTTCTTTCCTGCTGAATCTCCCCCCTCTCCGAGCTGGGCATCTCCGGCGCGGCTCACTCCTGGATTGCGTCCTACCTGACCGGTCGCTCCTACCAAGTGGCGTGGCGAGAAGCTGTCTCCGCACCACGTGCTCTCACCACTGGTGTCCCCCAGGGCTCAGTTCTAGGCCCTCTCCTTTTCTCCCTATACACCAAGTCACTTGGCTCTGTCATATCCTCACATGGCCTCTCCTATCATTGCTACGCTGACGATACACAACTAATCTTCTCCTTTCCCCCTTCTGATAACCAGGTGGCGAATCGCATCTCTGCATGTCTGGCAGACATATCAGTATGGATGACGGATCACCACCTCAAGCTGAACCCTGGCAAGACGGAGCTGCTCTTCCTCCCGGGGAAGGACTGCCCGTTCCATGATCTCGCCATCACGGTTGACAACTCCGCTGTGTCCTCCTCCCAGAGTGCGAAGAGCCTAGGCGTGACCCTGGACAACACCCTGTCGTTCTCCGCCAACATCAAGGCGGTGACCCGCTCCTGCAGGTTCATGCTCTACAACATTCGGAGAGTACGACCCTGCCTTACACAGGAAGCGGCACAGGTCCTAATCCAGGCACTTGTCATCTCCCGTCTGGACTACTGCAACTCGCTGTTGGCTGGCCTCCCTGCCTGTGCCATTAAACCCCTACAACTCATCCAGAATGCCGCAGCCCGTCTGGTGTTCAACCTTCCCAAGTTCTCTCACGTCACCCCCCCTCCTCCGCACACTCCACTGGCTTCCAGTTGAAGCTCGCATCCGCTACAAGACCATGGTGCTTGCCTATGGAGCAGTGAGGGGAACGGCACCTCTGTACCTTCGGGCTCTGATCAGTCCCTACACCCAAACGAGGGCATTGCGCTCATCCACCTCTGGCCTGCTGGCTCCCCTTCCTCTGCGGAAGCACAGCTCCCGCTCAGCCCAGTCAAAACTGTTCGCTGCTCTGGCACCCCAATGGTGGAACAAGCTCCCTCACGACGCCAGGACAGCGGAGTCACTCACCACCTTCCGGAGACATTTGAAACCCCACCTCTTTAAGGATTACCTGGGATAGGATAAAGTAATCCTTCTACCCCCCCCCCCCCCCCCCCCCCCAAAAATTGTAAAGTGGTTATCCCACTGGCTATAGGGTGAACGCACCAATTGGTGAGTCGTTCTGGATAAGAGCGTCTGCTAAATGACGTAAATGTGCCCTTGAGCAAGGCACTTAACCCTAATTGCTCCTGTAAGTCGCTCTGGTTAAGAGCGTCTGCTAAATGACTAAAATGTAAATGTAAATGTATGTCCATCAGTAGTAGAACAGACACAGTACATACCCACTTAATGCATGTCCAGCAGCAGTAGAACAGACACAGTACATACCCACTTAATGCATGTCCAGCAGCAGTAGAACAGACACAGTACATACCCACTTAATGCATGTCCAGCAGCAGTAGAACAGACACAGTACATACCCACTTAATGCATGTCCATCAGCAGTAGAACAGACACAGCACATACCCACTTAATGCATGTCCAGCAGCAGTAGAACAGACACAGTACATACCCACGTCAGCGATGATACTGCCAGGCTCATGCTCCAGTAGGAACTGGCGCACCTTGGGCCAGGCCTTGTAGCGGCTGTCGTTAAAATAGGGAGCAATCTTCTCGTAGACGCTGTGCACATGCTCCCTCTCCAGCCGAGTGGCAGCCTCCTCCATCACGGTCATCCAGGCTCGCTCATAAACCAGCACAGCTACAGGGAAGACAATAACAACCCGTTGGATTTTCAAGGCAGAGGCTAGCGCACTATATAGTAAATAAGGTGGCATTTGGGACACAACCAGTGTTCTTATGGGATAAGTACAGGACAGGTAGTCCCTTGTCCCATTTCCACCCCCAAACACAACCCTGGCCTTTTAGTTCAGGACAGGTAGTCCCTTGTCCCATTTCCACCCCCAAAATCTGCTGTTTTGTGAACAAAACACAACCCTGGCCTTTTAGTTCAGGACAGGTAGTCCCTTGTCCCATTTCCACCCCCAAAATCTGCTGTTTTGTAAACAAAACACAACCCTGGCCTTTTAGTTCAGGACAGGTAGTCCCTTGTCCCATTTCCACCCCCAAAATCTGCTGTTTTGTGAACAAAACACAACCCTGGCCTTTTAGTTCAGGACAGGTAGTCCCTTGTCCCATTTCCACCCCCAAAATCTGCTGTTTTGTGAACAAAACACAACCCTGGCCTTTTAGTTCAGGACAGGTAGTCCCTTGTTCCATTTCAAAACATTTTCTGCCATTTCTTTCCTACAGAACACGACCCTTGCCTTTTAATGTCTCTACATGATGAACAAAATTATTCTTAAATCATTCAATATAATGATCGGTGTGAGAATTACAATATCAGTACGGATGTCAAACCCAGCATCATCACAGCAGATTTAGCATGATTGCTAGAGGTCAAGCAAGGCTAAAGGACAACCAAAAGAGAGGATCCTTATGTCATTAGGGACAGATCGAAATTTACAGAATGGTTACCTGGAGGAAAATGGGGGAGGGTCATGCTTTTTCAATTTCAGTCAAGTGGAGGGTTTAGTATTCAAAAAATATATAATCTAGTCCAGGGGAGGGTCATGTAATTTGTAATTGATGACATTTCTATATTAGATGTTTATTAGGCTATACAGTGGGGGAAAAAAGTATTTAGTCAGCCACCAATTGTGCAAGTTCTCCCACTTAAAAAGATGAGAGAGGCCTGTAATTTTCATCATAGGTACACGTCAACTATGACAGACAAATTGAGGAAAAAAAATCTAGAAAATCACATTGTAGGATTTATGAATTTATTTGCAAATTATGGTGGAAAATAAGTATTTGGTCACCTACAAACAAGCAAGATTTCTGGCTCTCACAGACCTGTAACAACTTCTTTAAGAAGCTCCTCTGTCCTCCACTCGTTACCTGTATTAATGGCACCTGTTTGAACTTGTTATCAGTATAAAAGACACCTGTCCACAACCTCAAACAGTCACACTCCAAACTCCACTATGGCCAAGACCAAAGAGCTGTCAAAGGACACCAGAAACAAAATTGTAGACCTGCACCAGGCTGGGAAGACTGAATCTGCAATAGGTAAGCAGCTTGGTTTGAAGAAATCAACTGTGGGAGCAATTATTAGGAAATGGAAGACATACAAGACCACTGATAATCTCCCTCGATCTGGGGCTCCACGCAAGATCTCACCCCGTGGGGTCAAAATGATCACAAGAACGGTGAGCAAAAATCCCAGAACCACACGGGGGGACCTAGTGAATGACCTGCAGAGAGCTGGGACCAAAGTAACAAAGCCTACCATCAGTAACACACTACGCCGCCAGGGACTCAAATCCTGCAGTGCCAGACGTGTCCCCCTGCTTAAGCCAGTACATGTCCAGGCCCGTCTTAAGTTTGCTAGAGTGCATTTGGATGATCCAGAAGAGGATTGGGAGAATGTCATATGGTCAGATGAAACCAAAATAGAACTTTTTGGTAAAAACTCAACTCGTCGTGTTTGGAGGACAAAGAATGCTGAGTTGCATCCAAAGAACACCATACCTACTGTGAAGTATGGGGGTGGAAACATCATGCTTTGGGGCTGTTTTTCTGCAAAGGGACCAGGACGACTGATCTGTGTAAAGGAAAGAATGAATGGGGCCATGTATCGTGAGATTTTGAGTGAAAACCTCCTTCCATCAGCAAGGGCATTGAAGATGAAACGTGGCTGGGTCTTTCGGCATGACAATGATCCCAAACACACCGCCCGGGCAACGAAGGAGTGGCTTCGTAAGAAGCATTTCAAGGTCCTGGAGTGGCCTAGCCAGTCTCCAGATCTCAACCCCATAGAAAATCTTTGGAGGGAGTTGAAAGTCCGTGTTGCCCAGCGACAGCCCCAAAACATCACTGCTCTAGAGGAGATCTGCATGGAGGAATGGGCCAAAATACCAGCAACAGTGTGTGAAAACCTTGTGAAGACTTACAGAAAACGTTTGACCTGTGTCATTGCCAACAAAGGGTATATAACAAAGTATTGACAAACTTTTGTTATTGCCCAAATACTTATTTTCCACCATAATTTGCAAATAAATTCATTAAAAATCCTACAATGTGATTTTCTGGATTTTTTTTCCTCAATTTGTCTGTCATAGTTGACGTGTACCTATGATGAAAATTACAGGCCTCTGTCATCTTTTTAAGTGGGAGAACATGCACAATTGGTGGCTGACTAAATACTTTTTTTCCCCCACTGTATATCGCTGTGTGCCTGATGCTGCCCCACATCTCTGATGCTCCACTGGGCCACAATATTTACATTTACGTCATTTAGCAGACGCTCTTATCCAGAGCGACTTACAATATCAAATGCGCCTGTAGGCTATTTAGTGTGGTCTCAAGCAAATGATCCATAGCCTATAGGCTATGAAGTACATGCTTGGAGAAGCACGGACAAAGTTATATTTCTAAGATAGCTGTTGGGAAGGTGTAAATAAAACTAGGTTGCATTACACACCGCAATATATATTCCAACCCTGAGCCCCGGCCTGCTCTGCTCTTGCTGATCAAAAAACATTTTGTGTGCTGCTTAACCAATGGTTGTGCTGTGTAGGCTACAGTGGCAGTTCAGGAGGAGAGTCAAAGGTTTCTTCTGAAAATACATTTTGATTAGGCCTAGTCCAAAAAAATGCACTCTTGCAACTTTTGAATCTCAAGAGTTACCCGTTCACAGGATTGGTTTAGGCAACTCAGGTGTCTATACTTCAACAGCAAAGTTAGATAAGACGGAAGATTATGAAGTAGGGCCTTGTAAACAAAAAGGGAGTAATGTAGAGATCTATGGGTCTTTGGCGAAGTCCAGCCAACCTTTTGATACAGGATGCAGTGATGAGTATCCAAACTGTCACCTGTATCAAAACAAAGGGCACTATAGTAGATGGCATCCAAAGGTTTAAGAGTAGTAGCAGCTGCACTTTGATAAGTAATATCACCATAATCAAGAACAGATAAAGGTTGACTGAATAATCTGCTTCCCACTGCTTAGAGAAAGGCACAATCTTTCTGTAGAAAAAGCCAACTTTAAATCTTAGCTTCTTAACCTGCTCATCTATATGTTTTTTAAAACGTCAAATCCATATCAATCCAAATTAGTTTTAATAGTGTGATTTCTGCAAATGGCGGACTGAAGACAGCGGTGCAGAATGCCTCAAGATAAAAACGTAATATTCAATATCAGTAAGTTTGACTAAATATTAGCACTTCACTCCACAAACTCGTGGGCAATAACCTTCAATCTGGATAACACCACAAAACAAATAAGGCTAGAAAATGTACCGACCAATATCACCAATACAATCAACACCAAAACATGTCGGAGAGTAAGCATGGAGAACAAATCCCCAAAAGAAAACGAGATTCCGACGGACACGAACGATTTACGCTTTTCACCACCAGGAATGGTAAGTGTAGAAAGCGACTTGCTAAACTCGATAAATGATAAACTGGGCATACTTGAACTAGTCAGTATAGATATAAAGGAGATGATGGCGAGCCTCGAGATGAGTGAGGAAAAAGCTGCCATAATGGAGAAAGAAACAAGCTAAAAAGGTAGACAACACTACTGAAACGGATGTTAAAGAACTTTAAAAGGAGAACTTGTTTCTGAGAGAAGCCTTACTTGAAATACAGACTAGATCAATGATCAGACTAGATCTGGTACTTACCGGTATTAAAGAAAATTAAACTGAAGATCCTGAGAGTGTGGTGAATAAATTCCTTCTTAAAGTGCTACAGATCCCAGGTGATACTGTCGACAAAATCAAACTTTTGATTTGTTTAACACTTTTTTGCCTACTACATGATTCCATATGTGTTATTTCATAGTTTTGATTTCTTCAGTATTATTCTACAATGTAAAAAAATAAAGAAAAACCCTTGAATGAGTAGGTGTTCTAAAACCTTTGACCGGTAGAGTCTGTGTGTGTATGTGTGTGTGTGTACTGTGCCTTGCAAAAGTATTCATCCCCCTTCGAGTTTTTCCTATTTTGTTGCATTACAACCTGTAATTTAAATGGATTTTTATTTGAATTTCATGTAATGGACATACACAAAATAGTCCAAATTGGTGAAGTGAAATGAAAAAAAGAACTTGTTTTAATGGACATACACAAAATAGTCCAAAGTGGTGCGTGCATATGTATTCACCCCCTTTGCTATGAAGCCCCTAAATAAGATCTGGTACTTATGCACGCTCAAGTTCGCAGTTTTTTTGTCTTATTTTTTGTTTGTTTCACAAGAAAAAATATTTTTCATCTTCAAAGTGCTAGGCATGTTGTGTAAATCAAATGATACAAACCCCCCAAAAATTCCAGGTTGTAAGGCAACAAAATAGGAAAAATGCCAAGGGATGGGTGAATACTTTCGCAAGCCACTGTATGTATGTATATGTACACACACACGGTCCAACTTTTTAGAACACCTACTAATTCAAGGGTTTTTCTTTATTTTTACTATTTTCTACATTGTAGAATATAGTGAAGACATCTAAACTATGAAATAACACATATGGAATTATGTCGTAACCAAAAAAGTGTTAAACGAATCAAAATATATTTTATATTTGAGATTCTTCAAATAGCCACCCTTTGCCAATCAGTTGTGTTGTGACAAGGTAGGGGGGTGTATACAGAAGATAGCCCTATTTGGT